TCCCCCCTCTCCAGTGCCCGCTTGCTTTTTTCGATTGAAATGCCCCCCTGTCGGCTCTGGCACTTCGGCTTCCGTCTGGGAAAAGGTTCGGAATCAACTGCCTGCTTGAGCCCCAGGCAACAACAACAACAATCATTGTAAGACTGCTCGCTCTTTCTTATCTACTCGAGCGCCTTTCAACGTGTATTTCCCCAGCCTTCGATGCCCGCGCTCTCTTCGTCTTCGATCGCACATTCTTGGGGGCATATACCTGTCTTCCCTGCAGGTCGGGCCCCGGCAAGCGGCGGGGCGGCCGCGGACCGTCGGCCTGGCCAGCGGCAGCGCTAATCGGCGGCAGCCCGACCCCGAGAGGGGCGGACAAGAGGACAGACTGCGATGACGACGACGACGACGGCGACGACGAGCGAAAGCGAGAGCGAGAGCGACAGCGGGGCCACCAAGGGCAGGAATGAAGCCTCGAAAGGCGACAGCTGGGCCACGAAGGGCGCGCGTTTGGAGCCATGAAAGGCGCGGGCGAACGGGGGCCACGAAGGGCGCGCAATGCGGGGCCACAGAGGGCAACGACGGGGCCACTGAGTGTAGCAACGGGGCCACGCAGGACAGCGAATGGGCCACAAGGGGCGATGGCGGGGCCACGAAGGGCACGCACGTGGGGCCACGACGGGCGCGAACCAGCGGGGGGCACAAAGGGCGCGCGCATATTGGGCCGCAGGGGGCAAGGACGGGGCCATTGAGGGCAGCCACGGGGCCACGAAGGGCAGCGAGGGGGCCGCGAAAGGCGACGGCGGGGCCACGAAACGCGCGCACATGGGGCCGCGACGGGCGCGAACGAGCGGGGGCCACGAAAGACACGCATAAATCGGGCCACGAAGGGCAGCGAGCGGGCCACGAAGGGCTGCAACGGGGCCACGAAGAACAGCGAAGGGGCCACGAAGGGCTGCAACGGGGCCACGAAGGGCTGCAACGGGGCCACGAAGGGCAGCGAGAGGGCCACGAAGGGCTGCGACGGGGCCACGAACAACGGCGAGGGGGCCGCGAAGGGATGCGACGGGGCCACGATTGGTAGCGAGATCCTGATTCCTAAGTAAGCTGCGAAGGAGTTCTAAGCGCGAGCGCGACTCATGGGCGCCTGAGAGTCGGGAGCGCGGCGCTTGAAAAAAATGCAAGAGAATTCCAACGCAAGAGCGCGATCCTTAAGTAGATTGCAAGCGAATCTCCAGCGAGAGCGCGACTCAAGAGCGCCGAGAGAGCGATTCCTGAATACATTGTGAGGAAGTCCCAAGCGAGAGAGCGCGACTCCCGAGTAAAATGCGAGAAAGTCTCAGGCAGGGGCGGGGGTCCTGGCTAAATTGTTAGGAAGCCTCAGGCTGAAGCCGTTGCTGTTGAAATCTGGGGGCCAATGGCCCATTTTGACTCTAGTGATTTCACTGTTAAAAATCCGGGTGCGAGCCCTCGAGCAAGCACATCAATTGCAAACATACAAAATGGCCACCATAAGGGGAGATATCATATCAACAATAATTGTTCTTCGATAGCGAGAGCTCAACAACAACAACAACGGCAACAACAACGGCGACTGCCGTCTGAGACGCCGCAGCAAATGATCCACGGGTTGCGTTCTCGCCAGGGACTTCCACGCAATGCGCTCGCGACTGGCGATCTCGCGCTGTAGAAACCGCGCTGTCGCCTTGCCTTCGCATGTGTTTACAGGTCGCATGATCGACTGGGACATTCGCACACATGAATCCACAATTGTGCTATCGTTTGGGATGTCAAGAAAGGTTGCGAAAGAGGTCGCGCTCTCGCGCGGGGCCCCCGCCCGCCTGGCCCCCCCGTCAAGGCCCGCCCGTGCATTTCACTTGAAGCTCGCCCGCCGACTCGAATCTTTCGCCCGCCGGCCCCGCCCGTCAGGCCCCGCCCACCCGGCGCGCCCGCTGCGGGCCGCCCGCGCAGCCGGCTCGCCTGCGCTGGCGCGAGAAGAAGCGGGCCCAAAGCGGGCGCGCCCATAGACGAGGGCGGCGAGGAATCGAAGCACGCGGCGCGCCTTTTACATGTCCGACGCTGCAAATCATGAAACATCGCAACGCTGCGCGACTGGGCGCCAAAACCCCATCTTCCTGCCGCGCGGTCTCCAGCCCGATCGAACTGCGATGGCCCGGCGCCCGGCGCCCGGCGGAGACGCCCGGCGGGGAAACGGCGCATCGCCCGTGCCCCAGGCGGGGAAGAGGGGGGGGAGGATGATGAGGAGGAGGAGAAGGATGAGGAGGAGGAGAAAAACAAGCCTTCCCAGCTCCCCACCCGAGCCGCGGCGGCCCTTGGCCGCGGATCCGCGCCGAGCGGGCGCGGGCCGCCGCCGCTCAAGGGGGCGCGTCCCTCAGGGCCGCTTCCTCTCCCTGCGCGCCCGGCGGAGGCGCCGGGGGCCGCGCCGCCGGGGGCGGGCCCCGCGGCGCCCCCGATCAACCTCCGAGATCTACAGCGCGCCGCGGCGGGCCCCCGCAACGCGAGTCGCAGGCGCCCGCCGCGACGCGCCTTCCAAGGAAGATGGCAGTAGCGTCCAGGTTGTCGTGCTGCTGGCTGTCGCTGCGCTGCTGCGCCGTCTGCTTCTCGGTGGTTTTCCTTGGGGGCCGCTTCCCCGGGGGCTGCCCCTCTCCCCGCGCGTCTGGCGGATGCGCGGGAAGCGTTGCTATCGGGCTCGAACTGCGGCGCGGGGTCGTTCCGCCTCCGATGCCCTCGGCACCCCGTAGCATGCCCTCGCGACGGCTGTCGCGAGCACCCGCTGCGACATGCCTTCCAAGGAGGGTGGCAGTGCTGGGCAGGTTGTAGTCGCGCTGCTGGATGCTGTCGCGGTGCTGGTCCTGCTTCACGTCGTTGTTGGGAGCGGCGAGCGTTGCCAGGCGTGGCTCAGCGCGCTGACCCTCTCCAACCGACGCCCCTGGCCGCGCCGTGCGTCGGCCTCCGTCATTGACCAGCGCGTAGTCGACGTTGGTTGGCCGACTGTCTCCTCAGAAGCACGCGCGCCGGTCCTCTGGCAGGGTCGCGGCTGGCGCTGGCCGCGCCAAGAGCCTCGAGCCAGCCAGTCTTCTCAAACTCGCTGCACGTTGCATTGAAGTCGCCGCGGATGATCCAGGGCATCTTCACGGCGCTGAGAAACGCGGCAAGCGCGGCCGGCTTCTCGGCGCGGACCCCGCTCGCGGCGGCGTGGCTCGGGTCGAGGTAGAGGGAGATGATGGGGGGCGGGGTGCCACGCGTCTGCATGGTGACTGGTGTCCAGTCGCACGTGCCTATGTCATCGGGTGCCCCTCGAGCGTCTCAGGCGGCTGCGCTCGAGACTGCACTGAGACTTCCCCTGTGGCGGAAGGATGTATCTTTGAGATGGCCCCTTGCGAGGACTGTCGCGCTCCCGCCGGCGCCGTTCTCGCCGCGCTCGCTCGGCCTCGCCGCCGCGAACGCTGGAGAGAAGCCCGCCTTCTACAACGCGTGCTCTGCGGCGTCGAAGTGGCGCTGGCCCAGGCGGGTCTTCTGCGGCGCGCAGACGTCGCGCGGACGCCGCGTGCCATCGCGCCGCAGCCGGCTCAAGGCCGTCAGTCCCCACGTCGTGATGTTGGCGCTAAAGATGAGGCGATCGCGGTGGGAGTCGTCGCCAAGCTGCCCTCCCCCACCCCGCCGTGACCTTCAGCGGGCGGCAAGGGCCTGCGAGGCCGCCGCCGCTCGTCGCTGCTGGAGGCACGCCTCCGCGGCCTTCGCCTCGCCCTGGCTCGGGGTCCCCGCTGTGTCGGCCGGGGGTGTCACCTTCTGAGGGGGAGCTGTTGTGCCCGTCGCAGCGCCGTCCTGCGTCGCCTGCTCCGCCTTCCTCTTTCGAATGCCTGGCTGACCCGCGCGCTCTCCATCTCCCCTTGCCTCTTGGCCGCGAGCAGGTGTTTTTCCAACTGTCCCGCGAACGTCCCGGCGTTGGACTGCAGCTGGGCGAGCACATGCTTCTTGGCCCCCTCCCCCGCCGCGCGGCCCTCCGCGCCCATGTCCTCGTCGCGCGCGAACTCCTGCTCCACCCCGGCGACCTGCACGTCACTGGGCGACAGCAGGCCCGTGTCTGTGTCCAGCAGCTGCTCGAAGATGCTCTTCTGTTGCTGCTCCTTCGGCCTGCCCTCCCGTTGGGTTACCTCGATCTTGCCCTCTGCGGCGAGGACTGCACCTGCGCGTTCGCGAAGGGCTTCGCGAGCTCGCCGCGCCTTCTTCTCCGCAGCGTCCTTCTGCTCGAAGGCCAATTGAGCCTGGCAGCTCGCGACTTGGCTGGGGTGGTCGGAGTTTCTTTCAGCGCACTTGCCACTCCTGCCAACTGCTTCGCAATGACGTCGCCATTCGAAAGCTGCAGCGCCCCGATGGAAACCGTAAACGTCTGCAGCGCGCTGGTGATCTTCGCAACACCTATGTCGTCGCACTTGCCGCTGCCCGTCTCCCTGTTCATGCCCTTGCCTGACCTGCCTATGGGGCGGCGTGCCACCTGTTTGCACCTCCTGCTTGCTGTCGCTCTGGCTACACCACTCTGCATCCACAGTTGCACTAGTAGTCGTTCTTCTCGAGCGGCGAGAGCCACCACCACGTCTTGCAGTACTTGCAAATGGTCCACGTGGACGGAGGCTCGCTGCCGTGGTGCATCTTGAGAGCGTGTGCGGCCATCGCGTTGCGCAGGAGGTGCCTGGCTGCTGTCCGCTGCCGACGCAGGCGGCGGTGCCAGGCAGGTGAGCGGCTCCTCCGCTCTCGCCCCGTCGCGGGGGCCGGGGGCTCCTCGATTGCGGGCGGCCGCGCCAGAGGCCGTGGGCAGGGGGAAATGGCTGCGTCACCCCTGTGAAGGACCACCTAGGAGGAGGAGGAAGAGGAGGAGGAGGAGGAGGAGGAGGATAAGAAGGAGGAGGAGGAGGAGGAGAAAGAGGAGGAGGAAGAGGAGGAGGAGGCAAAAGGAGGGGCAGCGAGGCCCCGTCCCCAAGACCCCCCGAAATCGGGACTTTTCCACAACGACGACCCCCAACTGTCTCGATCCTTTCCCTGGGACAGGCTTCTCGTTCCGAGCGGTTTGGCTAACTTTCCAAGTGCACGGCGAGGGCCCCCAGAGGCCGAAAATAGCAACAAACTCCCGCCATTTTTTGTTCACGATCCGAGTTGTCTTATCTTCCAGCAACCAAGCAGAGGAGAAGGAGCAATCCGCTGCCCCTCAAACGGGCCACCCCCAACGCACAGCGCGAGCGAGGCCGACCGCAAAGCAATAAAAGCAAACACTTGCAATAGCCCCGGGACTTGGGGATCTCGCGGAGCAAGAAGCGGATAGCGGCATGACCCGAGGGAGCCGTGGTCCTCAGCCGCTTGCCCTTCTCGGGCGCGTGCTGCGAGGCCCTGCGCTTGCCGGGCTGCGACGGCTCGGCCGCGCCAGGGGGCGGCATCTCGCCGGGCTGGCCTCGCGGGCGCGCCGCCAGCGGCCGCTGACGCTGCGAGGCGCTGCTTGGTGCTGCTCCTGCTGTTCCTCCCCCTCCGCCGCCGCCTCCCCCGCCCCCCTCCTCCTCCACCTCCTCCTCTGGCGCTCTGTCGCCTCGTGCTCTTCCTCCTCCTCCGCCACCGTCGACGCCTTTTCCTCCGCCTCCTCCTCTTGCTCCTGCTCTCCCTCGTGCTCGTCCTCCTCCTCCTCCTCCTCCTCCTCCTCCTCCTCCTCCTCCTCCTCCTCTTCTCCTCCTCCTCCTCCTCCTCCTCGTCCTCCTCGTTCTCCTCCTCCTCCTCCTCGTTCTCCTCCTCCTCCTCCTCCTCCTCCTCCTCCTCCTCCTCTCCTCATCGTCTTCTCCTCCTCCTCCTGTTCTTCCTCCTCCTCCTCCTCGTCCTCCTCCTCCTCCTCCGCATCTCATCCTCATCCCTCCATCATCATCAACAGCATCATCATCATCATCATCATCAATCATCATCATCAGCAGCAGCAAATCATCATCGTCATCATCATCATCATCATCATCATCATCACATCATCATCATCATCATCATCATCATCAATCATCATCATCATCATCATCATCATCATCATCATCATCATCATCATCATCATCATCATCATCATCATCATCATCATCATCATCATCATCATTACCATCGTCATCATCATCAGCATCAGCATCAACATGATCATCATCATCAGCATCATCATCATCCTCATCATCAGCATCATCACCATCATCATCATCATAATATGATTGACAATCCTCATCATCATCATCAGCATCAGCATCAGCATCAACAGCACCACCACCACCACAACCACCACCATAATAATCATGTTCAGCATCATCATCAGCATCATCAGAATCATCATCAGCATCGTCAGAATCAGCATCATCATCATCATCAGCAGCAGCATCATCATCATCATCATCATCATCATCTTCAGCATCATCATACACATCATAATCAGTAGCATCATCTCGTTCAGTAGCACCATAAACATCAGCATCAGGATCAGCATCATCACACTCAGTTTCATCATAAGCATCACCATCATCATCAGCATCCAGACCAGCATCATCATCATCATCCTCATCATCACCATCAGCACCATCAGCATCATCATCACACTCAGCATCGTCGTCATCATAATCGCCACCACCGTCATCACCTTCATCAGCATCAGCATCATCATCATCACAGTCATCATCATGTTGACCATCATCATCATCAACATCACCATCATCACCACCATCACAATCATCATCGACAACACCATACTCCTCATCAACACCAACAGCAGCAGCAGCATCACCATCATCAGCATCCTCATTATCAGAATCAGCATCAGCAGCATGATCATCAGCATCATCATCATTCCCATCCTCCTCCTCCTCCTCCTCCTCCTCCTCCTCCACCTCCTGCTCCCCATTCCTTCTATTCCCATCCTCTTCCTACTTCTGCTCCACCCTCCTTTTCCTCATCCTCCTCCTCTTGCTATCCGTCCTCCTCTTTCTCCTCCTCCTCCACCCCCCTCCCCGCGTCCTTTTCCTGCTCCTCCTCCTCCTCCGCTGCCTCCTCCTCATCCTCTTCCTCCTCCTCCTCATCTTCTTCCTCCCCCTCCTCTCTCGTAGACCTCCTCCTCCTCCTCCTCCGCCCCGCTCCCTCATTCAAGACCTCCTCGTCCTCCTCCTCTTCTTCCTCCTCCTCCTCCTCCTCGTCCTCTTCCTCCTCCTCCTCCTCCTCCGCTGCCGCCTCTTCCTCCCCCTCCTCCTGCTCATTCTCCGCCTCATCTTCCTCCTCCTCCTCCTCCTCCTCCTCCTCCTCGTCCTCGTCCTCGTCCTCCTCCTCCTCCCCCGCCTCATTTTCTTCCTCCTCCTCATCCTCGTCCTCCTCCTCCTCCACCTCCTCCTCCTCCCCCACCTCCTCTTCCCACTTCTACCCGCCAGAAACAGCAGCATCATCAGCATCGCCATCATCATCAGGATCATCATCAGCATTGTCATCCTCATCATCATCATCATCATCATCATCATCATCATCATCATCATCATCATCATCATCATCGCCATCGTCATCATTACTATCATCATCGCCATCATCGCCATCAAAGCATCATCATCATGGCCGCAATCATAATCATCATCGTCATCATCACCATGGTCCGCATATTGAGCATCATAACCCAGGGTGTGGAAGCCAGTGGAACTCCAATCGTGGATCGGCCATGGATATCACCGCCACCCCATTGGATAAGGAACCCCCGAGGTCTACAGCCTCTTGGGCACACTCCTGAACGAACGCACCCACCGTACCAGCACCACCACCACCACCATCATCATCAGCACAATCATCATCACAATCACCATCATCGTCATCATCATCCTCATCGACAGCAGCGTCAGCATCATCATGATCACCACCACCATTACCATCAGCATCAGCATCATCATCAGCAGCAGCAGCATCACCATCATCATCCGCATCATCATTACCATCACCACCATTATCATCATCATCATCATCATCATCATCATCATCATCATCATCATTATCATCATCATCATCATCATCATCATCATCATCATCATCATCATCATCATCATCATCATCATAATCATCATCATCATCATCAGCACCAACATCACGATCACAAGCAACATCATCATCACCACCACCAACATCATGATCAACAACACCAATAGCACCACCATCATCATCAACATACCCGTCATCACCATCATCACCAACAGTACCGGCATCACCATCACCATCATCATCACCATAAGCATCATCGCCATCAGCAGCAACAGCATCAGCATCATCAGCATTACCGGCATCATGACCATCAACATCATCATTAAGAGAATCATCATCATCACCCACGTCATCATCACCAACAACAACACCACGATCCTCAACCACACCATCATCATAATCAGTGCCGTCCTCCTCCCTATCCAACTCCGTTTCCTCCATCCTCCCCTCCCCCTCCTACTCGTGTTCTTCCTTCTCCGTCTTCTTATTCTTCCTCGTATTACTCTTCTTCTGCATATTATGAATGTAGTCCTGTTCCTCCTCCTCCGCGTCCTCCTTCGCCTCCTCGTCCTCGTCGTCGTCCTCCTCCTCCTCCTCCTCCTGCTCTTCCTCCTCCTCCTCATCATCCCCCTCTTCCTTCAATTCCTCCTCTTCCTCGTCCTCGTCCTGTTCGTCCTCGTCCTCCTCCTCCTCCTCATCATCCTCCTATTCCTTCCCTTCCTCCTCCTCCTCCTCCTCCTCCTCCTGTTCCTTCCTCTCACCACCCTCATCATCACCAGCATTCTTTGCATCATCAACACAAACATCATCATGACCAGCACCATCATCATCATCATCACCACCACCACGATCACAACCGTCACCATCAACATCATCAGCATTAGCCTCATCATCAGCATTGTCATCGTGATATCCATCGTCGACATCGCCGTCTTAACCATCATCGGTAGCAGCATCAAAATCAACATCGTCGCCATCGTCGTCACTGGCAGCATCACCAACAGCGGCATCAGCATCAGCATCAGGATCAGCATGAACATCATCATCAACATCCTCGTTCTCATCATCACCCTCATCATCATTATCATCATCGTCATCAGCATCACTGTCCCCATCTTAGTCCTCATCCGCATCATCAGCATCATCATCCGCCACCGCCGTTTCATCATACTGATCAGCACCACCACCACCATGAACTCCGACGCTCGTTCTCCAAAGCACCCCAAGTGCGAAGGTTACGAGGAAGAGGCTGGCCAAACGGTTGCCTGGGCTGCAGGGCGCAGTGGCATTGTCTTTGCCGCGCTGTTTCAGAAAGCCCGAACGACAGAGAGCCTTCAACCTATTCAAGAGCTGTTCGCAAGGGTGGGAGGGAAGGCGAGAAAGCTGTATATCATATCCTTTTACTATCGTAGCCGGTGTGCTCGCATGATCCCCGACGTCCGCTTTCCAAAACACCCCATGCTTTCCAAAACACCCCATGTGTGAAATTTGCGATGGAAGGCTGACCAAAGGGCGGCCTGGGCTACAGGGTTCAACGGCATTCTCTGCCGCGCTGCCTCGAAGAGCTCCGAAACAGCTCTCAACTGGTTCCAACCTCACCGCCCTTGCGAAGTGTGAAATCTGCGCATGGTCCCTTGGTGCGTTGGTGACATAGTCACCCGACACCCCCCATTCATCTGGAGCGAGCTGAGCAAGTTGCTGGACACGTTGACGGCCGTCTGCCAACACGTGGGCGAAGGACAAGGCGGTTGCGCCCATCTGGAGATAGCGACGCATTCATTCTACATTCTCCCAGCGCCCACGGTATCGTAGCAGGCCCAGGTTCTGGAACGAGCGGAAATCATTGATGACTCCGGCTCGCCATGGCGAGCCAAACGGGCGCGGCGAGTCGCCGCCGCGTAGCTACTCTGGGCGCGACGACGCCGCTGGGGGAAGGGGGCCGAAGACGCGCTCCATCAAGTTCAGCAGCCTCGGATCATCGATCAGGACGCTCTGGAGCTCTGGCCCTCGGCCCAGTCTTTGCAGAGAGCAGCACGAGCATGCCTCTATTGACATCGCCCCCAGGTCCCCAGGCAAGACGAGGTGCTGCCGAAGGGCATTTGCGACCTGGCTGGGTGGCAACAGCAAGTGGGAGGCGAGCGTCGCGGCCCGCGCGGGGCGCAGTTTGCCGCGCGTCTGCGGCCACCAGAACTGCCCCCCCACCGAAGGGCCGAACATCGACACCCACCCAGCCTTACAGCGACCATGTATGCATGTATTTGGCAGAGCCAATGGATGGCCCGGAGGGACGCTCCGACGTCGCATCTTCATCGTCGGCAACGCCCGGCCGGACGCAGACGGTCGAGCACGCCACGCGCGCGGGATCGCGCAACCCCGAAGTTTCTGCGCGGGAGGAGAAAGCCCCAGCAATTCTTGGCTTGCTGATTGAACCAGCCC